TGGGTTTGTTTTGTGCGTGTGCCTGTCAGCGTATGAGGGAGCAGCGGCACAGGAGAGGAGTTCTTAGAAAGATTTATCTCCAAGTATCGAATGTGGGAAGATAATTACAAGCTTATACGATGAAGTAAGAGAATTGTTTTGTTTATATGAGAGGAGATAAAGCACATATTTCTCCCATCACAGTGATATAATAAAAGGAAGCAGAATATTGTGTGTAATTGCCTTTTTGGCCGGCGCTCCCCGAGGCCCCTGAGGACAGGACGAGGGTGCCTTTCCCAGCTCAGGAGATAACTCAGGGCAGCAACCCTGCTTAAATGCTTGTGGGGAGGCACTTCAGCATCACTCACTGTAGATTAATTTCACCAGACCTAACAAGACCCACAGTGATAACTCCAATTTAATCAGAAAAGAGAGGCCAAACAAACGGTAAGTGTAAAAGGGCATGGAGTGACAGGACAAGGGGGAATGGTTTTAAACTCTCAGAGGGCAGGGTTAGATTGGATATTAGGAAGAAATTCTTCCCTGTGAGACTGGTGAGGCCCTGGCACAGGTTGTCCAGAGAAGCTGTGGCTGCCCCATCCTTGGAAGTGTCCAAGGCCAGGTTGGGCAGGGCTTGGAGCAACCTGGGCTGGGATAATCTCATCCCAACCCACCTATCATGGGTGGGGACACCTTCCACTAGACCAGGTTGCTCAGAGCCTGGCCTGTTATGTTACTGCATGTTACTGCACATAATATGTGTATTTTACTATTTTATGATTATATTAGTGTGTGTAATAATAACACTTCACACATACAGAGGGCCTTTTGGACACAGTTTTGAGCAGAGCTGGAACATAAATCCCGTGAATCCGCCGCCGTGTGTGGTGAAGGCAAGTGGGATTAGTTCTCTTCCTTTTCCAGCAGGCTCTGGACACATCAGATGGAGCTGTCTGCAAAGGGAAATGAGGAGGATTATGTGATCTTTATCGAGATCCTTTTACAAGACTGATGTGTGAAAGCAAGGGCGTGGTGTGAAGGAGCATCTGCCACGTCCTTAACACATGGGACAGGGAGAGCAGACCCAGAAGGCAAGTGCGGGAGCATTTGGGGTGAAGAAGTTGTTCCAAAAAGACCTGAAAAGACACAGAAGGGAAATATATTCCTCTGATGTTAGAACAGATAGTGAAAGCAGGGAACCAAGTGAGTGTGTGGGATGAGATGGGATGTATTTCATAGCAATACGTGGACAGGCTTGTGGTTAAAGTCATTTCCCACCAGTTAACTCACTCCTCTGCTGAGCTACCAACCCAGGCCAGGCTGTCAGCGCTGCTGCCACCAGGGAATATTGTTCTGTGATGCTCTGATTCCATCTATCTGCATCATTTGCTGTTTGCTTCAGCCCCATTTGTGCTGGAGCTGCTCCAATCCCGGTGTGTCCCACACAGGACTGTGTCTCCTGCCATGGCACTGATCAGAAGGCCGGGCACTTCATAAACACCCAGGTGTAAAGTGAATGAAGGATCATTTATTTATTCTTCTGAATAAATTCTGCTAAGTTTGAGACAAAAGGACAATGAAGATACTCATTTTCAGCGGTTTTTCTCAGTCTGTGAAAACGAGAGCAGAGGCTACTCCGGGGAAAAAAAATCCAACCTGAAATCACCATTAACTACAGATCAGAATAAAATGGGCTTTCAGCCTGTTGCAGGAATGTGGGTTTCACCAAGCATCACTATAACTTTTTATTTTGGGAATTATAGCTTATATATATTATAGCTATACTATGAGGATAGTAGAAATTTAATATGACAGACAAATACAAAAGAACCCACTTTTAATTCTACGCTGTTCATTATTTCCCCTAAAACTATTACTGAAGAGTTGGAAAGGTGTTTTTTTTTTCTCCAGAAGCTCTCCTTCTGGCCTTTCCGTGCAGCTCACAGAGCAAAGTGAAAAATATTTATGATCTTAATGGTTCGGTTATTTCAGCCTTCAGTTTTGTTTATACAGGAAAAAGCTTTTTCGATAATAAATGTTTATTATTGCTGAAGATCTCTTAGTTTGCCTTGGGGTGTGTCTTGCGATTCCTCCCTTTTGGTGGAGCAGCTGTTGAGTCTGAAATGTGTGCAGAGAAGGGTCTAGTTGTGTAAGTGCAATTTTCTACGTGATTGATTTTGGAGTATTTGTATGAGTGTGCACAGAGTCCACTGCCCGTGGATTTCATTTCAAACCAAACATCCGTCTGGAAGCAGAGGTTAAAACCAGTGCAAACCAAAGCAGTGGTTCTTCACAAATAGGTTTGTCACAGTCTGATAGCCAAGTGCATTTGAATATTCCTTTGCAACACTTGAACTGCTCTCAGACGGATTCACAGAAGCTAATTGAAGGCTTAGGCAGTACAGAAAGTCCAGCTGGAGAGGAATAATGAATAGGGATGCACTGGAGAAGAACGAGGAGGCAGCAGGACCGGGAGGGATGGGAAGGAAGTAAAGCAGCAGTGGTAGATAAAAACAGTGAATTTGCCTGCGTGTCACTCAGGGGACCCAGGACACGTGCCAGTGCTGGGCACAGGGTGGCAGTGGGGCTGTCCCAACCCTCCCCATGCTCAGCCCTGACCCCTCACAGCTGGATGTCCCTCCTCACTCCCTGTTTGCTCAGTCTCCAGGGAAACACCCCACTGGGAAAAAACTCTGTCAAGTTCATTTCCAGCATTTTGGGGTCAACAAACTTCTGGTGGACGCAGTGTGGGGTTTGGTGTCTCGAGGACGTCAACCCTCATTTTGGAAGATTATGATGGGAACGTGGTGATCCTGGTGAGCACTTCCCAGGACAGGAAGCCCTGTGCTCCCCGGGGGAAGATGCTCTTTTGAGCGTCTGGGGTTCCTGCTCCTTGGGGGTGTCCAGGGAGAAGTTTGTACATCTATAAACCAGCTGTGTGAATGAAAGGCACCTTGGCATTCCCAAAATGGCATCTGGCACGTGGAGACAAGGCAGGAGCCTATGTCCAGGTGCTTGGCCCTGCCATCATGTGGGATCTTCACTGTTCTTCTTCACAGACAAATTAGAACTGGCTGCTGCTTTCAGAGGACTCAGCAGTTGGCAGTACCTTTCCTTGATCTCCCTCCTCTTTTTGTTCCATTTTTTAAGCCTTCCTCTGGCAAAAAAAAATTATGATAGCTGGTGGAGGAGGAGTTAGGTCAAGGGGTCTGACTCTGGCCTGGAAAAATGCACAACCATCAGATCAGGCTTCACAGCCCTAAATTTTTGCCCAGAGCCAGGGAACCAAGGCACCCCTTTCTGGGCAGAGTACAGATCACTCCTCCCTTCAAAACAGAGCATTGGAGGCTCATAAAATGCTTCCACTTTACAGAGGTGCAGCTGAGAAAGGCTTGGGTTAGGCAATACCTGAGAGGGCTTAAAACCTTACCTTTTCCTCAGGAACACGTGAAATCTCTTTTTCTTTTCTTTTAGGCTGGAGGCATGAGCCTTTGCAGGTAAGATTTCATGATTTACCTACTTAGAAGGAGGCAGTAATGAAACACTCCCTGGGGAGAGGAAGCCTGACCAAGGAATGGTTTTGTGTATTTTATCCAATAAGCATTAACGTTGTTTACACAGATCAGATTTATTTACGGGTGAGGGGGGGAATCTTTGTAAATTCAAAGTGTTTATTATTGCTAAAGACTTCTTCTGTTTGGCTCAGTGTCTGCTCCTTGGATATGTTTCAATTCCCATCCCTTGCTGAGCAGCTGCCCTTGCTGGCCACTGCCCAGTCTGCAAAGCTGCAGGAGGGATTTGCAGAGGTCTGTCCCTAAGGGCAAGAGGCCTCAGAGGACCCCTTCTGCTTCCCAGGAGGATTTAGGGAGGAAAGAGCCATTCAACTTTGATGTCAGTCCAATCAGAGCAAATCCATTACAAACTCTGGGATGCTGTGGTGAGTCACAGAATTGCAGAAAGGTTTGGGCTGGAAGGGATCTTAAAGCCCATCCAGCTCTATGGCAGGGACACCTTCCACTATCCCAGGTTGCTCCAAGCCCCATCCAAGCTGGCCTTGGACGCTTCCAGGGATGGGGCAGCCACAGTTTCTGTGGTCAACCTGTGCCAGGGCCTCCCCACCCTCACAGGGAAGGATTTTTTCCTAATATTCAATATAAATCTCTTCTCTTTTAGTTTAAAACTGTTCTCCTTTGTCCTCACACTATCAGCCCTTGTAAAAGGTTGCTCTCTTTCCTTTTTGTAAGCCCCCCTTAGGCACTGGAAGGGGATCTAAGGTCTCCCCAGAGACTTCCCTCCTCCAAACTGAACACCCTCTCAGCCTAAGAGCTCCTGCTTTCGTTGTTTGGTTTTAAAGCAACAAGAAACCTCTGGCCAGGGGTGACCCCTGGCAGTGCTGGGAGCAGCTGGGAGGGGGTTGACAGCATTGGGGCATTCCCCAAACGGCATTGGGGTTTCCCAAGGAAGGGAATCATCCCCCCCCGGCTGGGCTGGGCTGGGCTGGGCTGGGCTGGGCTGGCTGTGCGGAGCCCCCAGGGTGGGGAGTCATGGAGGGGCCGGTGGGACACCCGGAGTTCTGGGTCCCGACTAGGAGGAGGACGGAGGAAAAAAGTCCAGACGAAGAAGAAATTGAGGATGAGGAAGAAATTGAGGATGAAACGCTTGTGCTGGGAAGGGGGCTGGAGGACACCCCTGGGGGGACACAGGACACCCCTGGGGGGACACGGGACACCCCTGGCTCCCGCAGCGGCGGGGCTGCGGGGCACGGCCGGACAGACGGGGGGATGGAGGGGCGGGTGTGCGGACGGAGGGACGGATGGATGGATGGATGCCCTCCCCGGGGGGCGGCCCCTCTCCCCTCCTTCCCCTCCCTTCGGGCCGGGCCGGGCCGGGCGGCTCCGCTCCCCCCGCGGGGCCGCTCCCGCGCCCGCCCCCGCTCCGCCGCCGCATTTAACGGGCCGTCCTGCCCCATCCCATCCCCGGCCCATCCCATCCCATCCCCGTCCCGTCCCGCCGGCCCGGCCATGGCGCGGGTGTCGCTGCTGCTGCTGGCGCTGGGCCTCGCCGCCGCCGCCAAGTCCCCGTACCAGCAGGTCCTGCAGCACAGCCGGCTCCGCGGCCGCCAGCACGGGTAAGCGGGGGGAGCGCCGGGGGGAGGGAAACGGGGGAAACACCTTTTTTTTCCCCCAAATCCCGGCGGGAGCGGGCGCGCCGCGGGGGATGCGCTCGGTGCCCGCTCCGCCGCGGGCTCTTTGTGCGGGAGCGGAGGCGGCGCCGAGCCGGGGAACCGCTTCTTTCCCTCGGGGAACCGCTTCTTTCCCTCGGGGAACCGCTTCTTTCCCTCGGGGAACCGCTTCTNCGGGGAACCGCTTCTTTCCCTCGGGGAACCGCTTCTTTCCCTCGGGGAACCGCTTCTTTCCCTCGGGGAACCGCTTCTCGCATCGCTTTCTCTTTCTCTTTCATCTTCGAGTAACTTTTTTTTTCTTTCTTCTTTCCGTAATTCTCCTTTCGATAACTTCCCCCCTTTTCTATCACGATGCTTGTTAGTATCGCAGATGTCACTTCAGACTCCTCAGTGCTTCTTTATCAGTCAATCCACGTTAAGGAAATAGGCTATAACAATCCCTGGATTTCGCACCATTAAATGTTTTGTGGAAGGAATTCTTGTTGTGAATTTATAGAAAAAGAAAGAAAATTGCTTCGATGTGTCTGTGGAGTCAGAACCAGCTTACTCTTCGACTGGAACCCCCAGTCAGTCTTGAAAGTTTTCTTGACAAATAAAATCACTTATTTACTCATAAATAGTACAAGATAAGACCTGTAGAAAAATGCATGTAGACCTGTCTTGCTTGATACACAATATTTCACAGAGTGAGTAGTTTGAGCCTTTATTGATAGGCAGAAAACTAACCCAATGTTAATAGTTGTTCCCACCAGTTTTTAAATTTATTGGGAATTAGGAAGGGTGAAAGGATGACAGACCTTTCAGCTGGCTTCCATCTCTCAGTGTGGTGACAGTGATTGAGCCGAAGCTTCTGTTTAAATGGGTTGCTGGAAGCAAGGTCATGAAATGCTTTAAATAAAAAAAAAAAAAAAAAGCCAAACAAGACTTAAATGTTGCAATTTGATACATTCTCTGGCAGAGATCCAGGTCAGAATTTATGACAATGGAGGTGTTGTTTGTGTCTGATCAGGTACACAATCCAACAGGCAAATTCTGAGCTGATGTCTATTTGTAAAAGCTCAATAATGCCAGAATTACAGTGATTTATGTACATATAAAGTGGGTCTTGTTCATAATCTCTACGTGATTTGAAACTAAGTAAATACCCAGTTCTGCTGATAGCCCTGAGGCCAAAGTTTGCTCAGGCTGGCTGAGTTAGGGCAGTCCTGGGATAAATCAGTGCACTCATCTCTGCAGAGAGAAGCTTGTTGTGTTCCTCCCTGGACAATTAACAGAGGCACAGGGTAAGATGTGATTGCGGTCCATGCTGGTGCCAGGGAATTGGTGTGCCAGGGTTTCCATCTGTTGCTAAGATAAACCCAGTTGACCACAGCACTTCGCTCCCTGGTCCCATTCTGATGGAGAGAGTGATTTACACCAAGCTAATTTTTGAACATACACTGAATTTTGAGCATTGATTAATGATGTGCCAAGGAGATACAGCAACACAAAACCAGCCAAAAACATCTTGGATGTGAGGCATGTTGTGTTGCTTGCAGGAGGGAGCTCTGGAGGGATGTGCAACCAGGACTGCCACCCTTTTGATGAGAGGATCCCCCACACCATCAATGCCCCTATTGAGCCCAGAACGAGCTGGGAGGCAGAGTTTGGCTCTACAGCAGGAACTTGTACATCTTAATTAACTTTTTAAAAAGTGAGTCAGCTCAAGTCAGTGAGAGGAGCTGAAAAGTATATCAGGAATGCTAGCATTTGAAGGTGAAAATGTAGGAGTGCTCTCCCCAAGCCCACCCAGCCTCGTGGGCACCACAGGATGCTGGAGAGGTTCGTGGCCATAGTCATTGCAGGTAGCTGGGGCTGTACCAAGTCCTGCTCTTCTCAGCCTCTTCCCAGGGGCAGCCCCTGTCCCAGCAGCTCCCAGCTGCTGCTGCCAAGAGAAAGGCTTTGGCTGAAGGGGAACAATAGGCAGTTTTATCCTGGAGTCAGCGTGGCTGGCTGGGAACGGCATGGCAGAGGTGATGAACTCCAACGAGGAGAGGGAAGAGTGTTGACAAATTCATTTTAAGCCAGACTGGGCAAAGCACCAGAACATGCAATGCAGGGAGCCGCTACTACAGCCTGCCTGCAGGAATCATTGATAGCACGGCCCTGAGGGGGGATTTTTCCACCCTGAGTTAAAGCTGGGAAGAAGTTTTCCCCCATAAGTCAGGGAGGGAGCAGCAGCCCCAGAGAGCTGCAGTCCTGGGCAGGGAGGAGGGAGCAAGGCAGTTCATTGCTGTCCTGGAGGCACAAGGGTTTTCTTGGCAGGCTGCTCCCGGGGATACAGGGGAAGTGATCAAACAAGTCCTTCAGTAGCCAGGCTTGTCAAGATGAATATTAGAGGGATTGTCCACTGCCGTCAGCCAGACGCTGAAATCGAGGCAAGGCTTGGAATTTCCATGTAATTGGAACCACATTTCGGCTCGGCGGGGCCGGGTGGCCAAGGTGGGCTGAGTCAGAGCACAGACGTCTCTCTAAGCGATGATCCGGCGTGGAAGTTGCTGAGCCTGGGCCAGTTTGCACCAGCTGAAAGTTTGGCTTTGTGATTTCTAACTTCTTTTTTTTTTTCTCAGTAGATTCTTGCTCCTTGTCCCCTGCTTTATATAGAGAAAGGGAATGAAGTGCTTTCGTGTGGAAACAAACTCCCTTTGCTGGGTATGGCAGTAACGAGGGCAGCGATGAGCTGAGTCCCCGCGGGTCCCACAGGCCCTCTCTGTGCCCTTGGGGCAGGATGAAGGTGCCAGGGCTGTGTGGGGTCAGCTCTGCCCCCGCAGGACCCACGGCAGCCGCACCAACAAAGGCTCATTGAAGGCAGGCCAGGCTCCCGCAGGGGCTGGCACTGGAGTCAGCCAGCACAGGGGAGACCCTCAGGTTAATTCATGCTAATGATGGGCAGGCTGGCCCGGGCTGGGATGCCAGGGAAAAGCGAGCCTGGCTGTTGGAGGACTCGGTGCTTGGGCTGCAAACTCTGCTTTTGTTAGTTTTGGGGGGCAAGGGGCAGCGCCTCGGTCAGGCTCAGCGTGAGACAGGCTGCTGTCTGTTCTCCTGAGCACACCAACAAGGCCTTCACAAGAGCATCTCCAGGCCCCATCCTGAGTTTCATTTGTGCAAGTGAAAACTCTGCCTCGGGTGGCACAGAGCACTTCTGATGGGCTGAAGGGATGATTTATGTGTTTCGCTTAATTATTTGTTTTCCCTTTGTCTGCTTGGCAGCCAGTGCTGCACATACTTTTGGTGCTGCTGCTCCAACTGGGACATGATGTTGGTGGGAACACGGTAGGGAATCCAGCCTTAGTTGGGCTGAGCATCCTCAGCTTGCTTGGGTGTTTGCTGCAGCTCTGCTCAAGCCCAAAGAGAGTTGATGGCCTTGCAACCCAGATCAAATCACATCTTACACTCTGATGTGTGTTGCCCGGTGGCCAGGGCTGCTGGCCACAAACCACAGAGATGGTGAGCCAGGCAGAGCACGGAAATGCTGTGCTGGCCAAACCAGCAGCAAGTAAACTCCCAGCTCCTGCTTGACCACATCTTTGCTCGCAGTGATACCACTTCTTAGAAAGCTGAAAGGCTGCTGTCAGCTCTCAGCAGGGTTAGTCACACGTGGAACACCAACCATCAACTTTTCTGGGTCAGCAGGAGCTCTGGGGACCTCCTGGGCTGATACAGCCACTCTTGAGCTGTGCTGTCATACCTGGAGTGTTGAAACGAGGGAGGGCACTGCTCATTGTCCCCTCATTCAGCTCAGCATCCTTGGCCAGAATCTGCTGAGTCTGTCACACAGCAAAAGTACCCATCCTGGTTCTGGTGCAAGTCTGCAGGCTGATAAATATCTGTGCTTTCTTATATCCTAAACACTGAAGTAATGGTTTCTTCTGGAAGGATTTGAGTTATTGCAAAACTTGCTCAGGTTTTAGCTGGGATCCCAAATTGCAAGTAGCTGTTCAGCACGGAAACACTTTTAATTTACTTTCTTTATATTTTGGTGAGAGATGGAACATGGGGAAAATAAAGTCAAGAATTTGCACTTATTGAAGAAAAAGATGCTGTGACAGAGTGAGGAGAGATCTCTTTTCCTGCTTTCTCCACCTCATGGTAGTCACTATATGCTCAGATAGAGTTGACTTGCAGCTCTCAAAGTTTCCTGCCCTGCAAGCCTTTTTGGGCACTGTCAGGTGGGGGTGGCTTCGTGTTGGGGGGCAGCACGGAGAGGAGGGAGGCTCACGGGACCCTGTTGTGCTCTGTCCTCCCCCGCAGCCCCAACGTGTGCGCGGTGCAGAAGCTGATTGGCACCAACAGGAAATACTTCACCAACTGCAAGCAGTGGTACCAGAGGAAGATCTGCGGGAAGTCAACGTAAGTACCCGGGTGCCAAGCCAGGATCTCCCCAGAGATGCCCCTGTGGAGGTGGGTGCTGGGTGGGGGAAGCAGCTGGTGTGGATATCACAGCCCACGGGGTGGGTTTCAAGTCTTTCACGAGCTTTTTACTCCCTAAGAAATATTTATGTTTTTCTCCAGTGGATCCTAAAACGCTTTGATGTTAAGAGTGGAAAGTACCATGTAAATACAAATGCTGATGGTTTGTTCTAATTGCATTTCTATATATATTTCTATAGCTCTCAGGGCTGTAATGAAGTGTGTACCAGATGTTTTCTAGTGCTTAGCCCTGTCCCTCTCCATGCTAGGCTCAGTGCTCCCTAGATTTAAGAAATAAAAAATGAGGAAAAAAAGACAACCCAGAGCTGATGGATATTGGAGGGAGCGTAAAATTCATCTCCATCTGTTTGCTTTGGAAGGGAAAACAGAAATAAGGGGAAAGAAGTGTCAGCTTTAGCCAGCACTCTCTGATGACTCCACCAGGAAAGTTAATCAGACTTGCAGGCCAATTCCACGTCTAAAATTGCAAACAATAATATTCAAGTAGCTGTTGCATAAAGTATCTGTGTAAGCAGCCTCGGGACATTCTTTTGAAAGATGCAGTCAGCAGATAATTAAGGCTATGCATGCTTGACTGTCTGCCAGGCTGGAGAGCAGGAGCTGAGAGTCTTTTTCCTTGCTGCAGTCCAAACTGGGCTTTCAGGAGCGTTTGCTGGCCCCACACTCCAGCGGGGACCACCACAATACCCAGGGTTGGTGCAGAGATGCCCTGAGCAGTCCTGGCCTTGGGGATCAGAGCTGTGGGCTGGGTCTGGTCCTGGATCTGCAAGGTCAAGAGCAAACAGCAGAAAATCATCTCATGTGTTTCTGTTGTGGTCCACTGTAAATTGCAATTAGATCTATAGGAACCTGTTATTCTTTACTGCAGAATTTGGTTGCCATCATCAGTTTAGCTGTGATGCCTGGCCATTTGGATTCATTTCAGGTGCCTGCAAAGCAGATCTTGTCACCGTTCAGAGCTTTTGGCCTTTCACTGTACTTGCCATGAATTTGTCCCAAGAAGGAAAATTCTGTACTTCAGGAGGATGTATTGCTGGATGTACCATGTATCATGGTTTTCCTTATGCTCAATTTTCTTTACAGTAGAAAAAAAAAGAACAAAAAAGAGAGGCAATATTGTAAAATCTCCCTCCCCTTGATTCTACAAACTCAACAAAGCTGGGAAGGCTTAACTTGAGTGCTTAGAGTTCAGGCTGTCATCTTGGCTGAATAATGGTGCTTTTTTTGACAGAAAATGGACAAGATTATGGCATGGCAATATGGTATCATCACTGCCTCTTTTGATAACAGAGTAGCCTAGCATGTCTCCAAAGAAAACATGGCTCAGCTGTGGATGTGGGATAGCTTTGCTGCTCTCAGCACTGAAAGGCAAAGCTCTCCAGCCATGGATTCCTTCAGCTCTAAAGCAAATGAGAAACTAATCTCATGTAACCCAAGTGTGCAGCTGGATTTGGCAGAGACAAACTCACCCACTTATCTCCAGAAGGAGGTGTAACCACTGGCATCTGGCAGCATTTTATGATTTCATTTGAGGAGATGGGGTAACCTCTTCTGCTTCCTTTTCTCTGCTTTTACCCAAGTGTCTGATCCAGTGATGCCTTGCTGAGCGAAAAGCACACAGAGCATTAACCTGCCTGTTAACCTATGAGATAATCTTTCCATTACCCACGGAATTTGCTCACTACTCTTTGCTTTGCATCACCTCCACAATGGGTGTTATTGTGTTCTCTCCTCCTAGTCATTCTTGAGCCTGGGCCCTACTTTTCCCTTTAGCAGTGCTGGTGCAGAACAAAAGACATGTGCCTTGACTCAGATTTTCCGGAGGACCCCGGGACAGCTCTGATTACACAAGTTTGCCGGTGATGGCTCCCACTGGACGTGGTGAGCCTGGCGTATGGAAGCAATCAGGAGTCATTTGGGCTATAAGGGACACGATGCATTCTGCTGCAGCACTCAAATTCCTGCACCAGTGTCAGGGGCCTGATGCTCAGTGCCTCAGCACCCATCACAGTAGGTGGGCACAGCTAATGCTGCCCAGCAGGAACCCTCGAAACCAGCCTGTTATGTAGGACTGAGCTGGTGCATGAGAGGTTTTGAGAATACCACATGCCTTTAAATCCCATAAAAATCAGGATTTGGCATGTTTGTCAGCATAACTGGGGGGATCCATCCTTTGCTGGAGATCTGCAGTCAGCAGCTCATGCTGTGGTCCTCCAGCTCATGCTTGGTTCCTCCTGTTGGCAGAGGGATCTGCTCCATCAGCCCTGGGGAGGTGCTGGAGCAGAGTGGTCATTTCTCTCCTCCTTCTAGCAGGTTTTTCCCACCTGTGAGAACAGCAGTCCTGGGGTAGGAGGCACTTGGCCCATCTCACCTACTTCCCATTGGACCTGCCTGTTGTCCTCCCTGCTTGCTCAGAGGGTCGGTGGTGCCACAGGTTGTATGTGTGCAGCAGGTGCAAATACCTGGCTCTAGGAAGATTGTTTTGGCTGCTTTGCTTTCTTTTCTTTCCCTTCTCTGAGCACTGTTTCAAACAGGTAGTGGGGAGGGAGGTCAGTGAGAGACCAGGTATTGCTGAGAATCAAAGCTCCACGGGGGTGGAGTGCTGGAAATTTCAGCTCATGCATCAGAAGACGACTCCTACCTCTTTATCTGCCTTTTTTTTTCTTTGTTTCTCTTTGTTTTTCTCCTCTTTGCTGAAGTGTTGGCTCACACAGTTAAGGAGAAATTAGATAGAGGATTTATGTACAGGTTTTATCATTGCTGATGACGTGAGACAAGACAGTTGGCAAGAAGTCTGACACTGCTTTGATTTTAATGAGCACTGAAACAAGATTGTTTTGGTAATTAGGTAATTTTCCACTGCTGGTGATTCCAAACTCAAAGAAACAGTTTATTTAGGGTATATTCTCATCGTTTTGCGTGTGTGTTTTATATTTTTCTACCTCCCTTATGCACTGGGCTCATTCTTCCGGAATTGGGCTTGCAATGGAACACGTCCCCACACACTTTTTTGTTTTGAGAATGAAAAGACAACTTATAAATTTTGGGTTTGATTATTTTTTGAGGAATAACCTGTTAATAATTTCCTTTTTTTTTTTCTTTAAAATTAACTTTCCTTTTCATGTCCGATGTACTTTCCTCATTTTAGGAAAAAAAAAATTACTCTCTGGCACTTCTTTTTACAAAAACAAACCATATGGGCTTTATTACAGGAAATTATTACGAATGGATCTTTATTCACTAATGTCTGCCTAAGCTTATTTTTATTACTTCGAAGAATGCACTTAAAATTTAATTTCAGCTCCCAAGAATGCAACAGCAGTGAAACAATGACTGATAAAAGCCAGAGAGCTTGCTTCTGCAGGCAGACACTGATAGACAGTTCAGAAGTGCAATGTTTCAAAACCAGAGGCTGAAAAACCGTAGATTTGACTTGCAGTTACTCAAGGAGGAGGTCAGGAAATGGTGGTCAGAGTGGGTGAGTGAAGCTGGCCCTGCTACTGCCTTGGTGCTTCTGGCCATCAGTTCCCTCTGTTCTGGAGATGCCACAAACCCACTGAGAAGCAGTCATAGGATCACAGAAGGCTTTGGGCAGGAAGGGACCTGACACACCATCCTCCTGCCATGAGCAGGGATACTTTCCACTAGACCAGCTCCCTCCACCCCTTCCCAGTGCCCTCCCCTCCTGGTAGGAGGCTGGAGCAGCCCTGAGCTGCTGTGCCACAGGCTGTGAGCATCAACATCCTGCCCCTTCAGTGCAGCTCATTAATCTCCAATTGGTCTATAAATAAGGCTTTTAAAACGTATGTCAGCACTTGGGAATTATTTATGCTGAACTTTGGAGTGATTTCTCTTTAATCAGCTCTTCATCTTTGATTACAGGTCTGAACCAAGGGAACTGTCTAGACTGGATTTGGTTTCTAGGGTGAAATAAAGAAAAATTGGAGGTAGAGGAGGGAAGTGGTTGGGGGGAGAAAGTGTGTGTTTCCAATGAACACGAGACAGGGGGGCTGGGGAAAGCAGAGCAGCAGGGTGTTAAGATCTCCAGTAGTCAAAGGAAGGGATTGCTTTAGGCAAGCTCTTTCCCACATGGAATATATAATGTCTAGACAATCAGTCTGGGTTTGCTTTGTAATTCTCTTAGGGAACCGTGACACAGAATTTATTTGCTTCTGTCACAGCAAAGCAGGTATTTGTTTCACTTTCTGGCTCTTAATTACCCTGAAGAATTCCCTCTTAAACCCCAGGCATTTCCACTGTTTGTTAACAGTGTTAAAATGATGACAAATATCTGAAGCTGGAGGATTTTCCCTTCTCTTTGAGCGGGTGTGCTGAGCCTGGGCGATACAGCATCCTGCTTGCCTCAAATCCAACCAGGAGCAGAGAGGAAATGCTTGCCTTTGGGAGGAACACCTATTCCCTCACTCTCTCAGCCCATCAATCAGGTGGCCTTGCTCCTTTCACACCGAGCACGGAGCAATGGGTGGAGGAACCCCCTGTGAGAAATAAACTGGCAACTTCTGGATTGATTTTTTTTTTCCTTTTCTTTTTTTTTCTTTTCCTGTTAATATCAAGCCATATTCCCTCCAATGACCAGCTTTGAGAATCAGATGACTTCCGTTTCCCGTTGAGCTGCAGATGATGGATGCAGTTTTCAGGCAGCTCTTCCTTATTTAGGATCTGCAAATTTGTGGGACAGCCTTGAGTCCCCAGCAGGGTGTCTGTGACCCCTTTGGTTTTACTGGGGGAAAGAGTTTAATCAGGACAGCAGTTTGGTGGCAGCCAGAAGGAACTGCTGCCCTGAGGGCACTCACGTGGCTGTAGTTGTGCTGTGGCACTGCCCGAGGTGCCCATGGATGCACTTGGATGCCACCACTGGTGAAGTTTCTCCCTGCAGGGCTTTTCCCAAGTCCTTGTGCCAAGTGCACGCATCCAACACCGGGGTTGTCCTTTCCCTCCAGGTCTGTCCTGTGGATTTTGCCATAAGTAAGCAAATAATTTCTGGTGGTGGACAAGAACAGGGTGAAATGAGGGGGAAAGGCTTGGTTTGGTCAAGCAGCCACATTGGAGTTGCCCAGACAGTGATGAGATGTGACAGCAGCAGTGAGCCGAGGAGATCCCCAAATCCCGTGGGAAACGTGCCCAGATGAACCAGCACTGGCAGCCTTGCACAGGTTATCTCCTGGCACTGTGGAGTCACTTCCCATCCACTGTTTGTACAAAGTCTCCTGGAAAGTGTAGTTTCGAAAAGAAATTGCGTCTGCTTTTGTTCTGTGGAGGGACTGGCAACACGCAGCCCTGAAGGAGATAAAAACTGTGGTTTGTCTTTGGTTCAAGTCTGTATTTCTAATGAAGAGTCTGCTTGGAAACAGCCCCAGATATGGCTGGACCCAGAGCTGCAGCAAATAGAGAAAAAGCAGTGAGACACTGTTGGTTAATCTGCCGTATCCCTCTCTTATTCCAGAGTCATCAGTTACGAGTGCTGTCCTGGATATGAAAAAGTTCCTGGAGAAAAAGGCTGCCCAGCTGGTAAAAATATGTCTGACATTTTTTAGACTCCTTAAAATTACACAGCTGCCTAGTAAAGGGAAATATTAGAAAACTGCTCGAAGTGGATTTGATTTTTGCAATTTGTGCACAATATTGCCGTGAACAAACCCAAAATGGACCCAGCGGAGCACCGACCCAGGGCCAGATCAGCTCCAAAGCTTGCTAAATGTTCCAGACAACTCAGAACCTTGGATATAATTAAACTTAATCAAGCATGGGAGGGCCATAGGGAATTACTTATTCCAGCAAGTCATATAGCTGTGTTGGAAATGCAGTGCAGAGGAATGACAGAGTAACAGACAGCCCTGCCAATCTCTGCTCATTTTTAGTTTTTATTTTCATAGAATTTTACACTGGTTTGGTTTGGAAAGAAGCCTTACAGATAATCTAGTTCCAACCCCCAGCCATGGGCAGGGACACCTTCCACTAGACCAGGTTGCTCCAAGCCCCGTCCAACCTGGCCTTGGACATTTTGGCAAGCTTGGGGTTGGCAAAATTGCATTTAGGAGAAAATTAAGTTCAGCCACTGGTGGGGGTTGGGAGGGAGTTAACCGGGTTTACTGAAGAAAGCCATGCTCTGCTTTTGCTTTCTGAACACTTCCTTCCACAAAAGCTGGATGCTGCCCAGTTAACCACGTGGGCTGGTGCAGATGGGTCAGTGGAGACTGGGACCAGCAGTGTCCAACAACAAATCCCAAAAGCCTGAGTGCAAACAAGGATTGGGTGAAAGCAATTAATATCTTTGTTTGCCTCAAATCCCATCTGTATAAATGCAGGGTAAGTCCATCCAAACCTGCAGAGATGCAGTCAGTCCTGGATTACCCTGCTGGAATGGAGGGTGAAGCTGCCAGGCTGTGATTATTTATCATCTAATTGATGAGCAGATGCCAGTCCCCGGTGTGCTTCACTTCCCTGAGCATTGTCCCCTGCAGCTCTCCTTGAATTCAGCCAGAGGGAGGAATGATGTGTTGGGAACATAACTTTCTCTTCTTTCCAACATCTACGAGACCCTGGGGGTGGTTGGTTCTGCCACCACACAGCTCTACTCCGACCGCTCCAACCTGAGGCCGGAAATCGAAGGGCCGGGAAGTTTTACAATTTTTGCTCCCAGTAATGAGGCCTGGGCATCACTGTCTGCTGTAAGATGTAATTCCTCTGCTTTCCCCTCTTTCCCCTGGCTTTCTGTAATGGGGACCCAGCTCTGTAGGGGTCTGGATCCAGCCCCATCTGGCAGAATAGGCATGGTCCTGATGGAGGAGGGACTCTGCATTTCCGAGATGGGTATCACTGTACTGGTCCAGAAGCTCCAGAGATTTGCTTTTGAAGGATTCCAACACTGGAGAGATGTGGATGCCATGGAAGGCTTTCCATCCCTTTCAGTGTTTCATTTTGACCATTATTTTGCCACTCTGGTCGTTCTCAGTCTGTTCAAAAAGCCAGTCCCAATTAGAGCCTCAGTGACTCCCACATCAGTGTGTCCCATCCTCAATTACATATTTCCTTTATATTCATTCTGATTTTCTCACTCTGTGTCTTGTGATATTTCCACTCCTGAAATGGTCACTGCTGCCCTGCTGGTGCTCCCATCCCAGTGGAGCATCCCTGTGAGCAAGGGAGTCACAACTGTACAACCCCCTCTTTACAGCTACATCCCAAGGAGGGAACATTTTATTTGGCTCTCCCCACTGCTAAGCCCTTACCCCAAACCTGCACCAGCAGAGCCCCTTGCAGGGACGATGCTGCTGGGAAAGGTCTTTTTGTGTATTTGCCCTTGGCCCTGTTGCTTTACAGTGGAAAGATCCCACACTGGAGCTGCCATCATCCCTTTGTCTTCTGAGGATGGAGGGTGCCAGAGCTGTTAGCTGCACTTTTAAGGCAAAAGATAAAGATTTGTGAGAGCTGAGCTCTTAATTTGCACAGATGGTGTAAGGCTGAATGCATCACTTAGTATTCATGCACACCCCCCCACATACACTTTGGAAGCACCCTGAGTGCAGCCAGACCTCCTGGCCCTCTCTAAGCACTCAGGACTGAAAAGTTTATTTTCCTGATTTTCAGGAAACTCTGGATTCCTTGGTCAGTAACGTCAACATTGAGCTGCTCAACGCCCTGCGCTACCACATGGTGGACAAACGGGTCCTCACGGATGACCTGAAACATGGGACAACACTCAACTCCATGTACCAGAACCTGCCCATCCAGATTCACCACTATCCCAACGGGGTGAGGCATTCACAGGGTCACAGTGTGGGGCAGCCTGGGAGGGACCACATGGGGACCATTTGCTCAGGAAGGGTCATCCCAGAGCACAGGGTTGTGTCCTTGTGATTCTGGAATATCCCCAGTGAGGGAGACCCCACACCCTCTCTGGGCAACCTGTTCAGTGCTTGGTCACTGCACAGCAAAGAAGTTCTTGCTTGTGTCAAACCTGTCCACAGCAGGCTTGTTTCTTGGCTGCCTTGCAGCTCCTACACTGTCCTTGGGCCTCCAGGACTCTGTAATGCTTAGGTTGACAACTACTGATGGAAGATACATATTTTGAAGGAGTTTGAAAAGAATGTTTATAGTTTCCTTGATGCTGTTGCGGGGCAGTTGCCCACGTTGCTGTCCAACTGTTTGTCCTTGCATATATTCTTAGTCTTGATGAATGAGTGTTGACAAAACCACTCATGATTTTCAGAGCTCTTTAAACATGAAATGTTTCAAACATTCTTGATAGAACATTCCTGCTCTTTCTGTGTTTTCTCAGGAAACCACATTTCTGTCTTGCTGATGCAATATTAAAGCACTCGCTGTGTTTGAAACAGAAATGGAAAAGCAGCAGAGGCTGCTTTGTCTTCTGCTTTCAGTGCACGTAACACCCCGTGGCTCTTTCCCTCTGCAGATTGTGACTGTGAACTGTGCCAGGCTGCTCAAAGCTGACCATCACGCCACCAACGGGGTGGTTCACGTCATCGACAAGGTCATCGCTACCACCACAAACACCATCCAGCAGATCATTGAGACTGAGGACAGCCTGGAAACCCTTCGGGTGAGTCAACCCACGGCTGCTCCAGGGCTCCTGGAAGATGCTCAGTCATCCCACTCCTGGTGAATCGTTTTGAAGAGCTTTGCCTGTGTCCAGAGGCTGTGGCCCCACAGCTGCTGGTGAAATCCTTGTACCAATGTTGCTCATTTTGCTTTAGGAAGAGAAGTGTTTGATATCAGTGCAAGTAGGATTTCATGGGAATAATTGTCACCCTGCTATGGCTGTTCAGAAAAGAGATGTAGACTCAGTGCGTCTCCTCATTCTTGTATGGGAGTCTTGGCCTTAGGAGACATTAACTGTCCCAATTTGATGTGTACCAATTTATCTGCCTTGGTATTTGCCAAGTTAAGGAATAACTCAAAATGTACAGGGGATTTGCAGTTAGCCAGCTGTGGGTTCTGATCTGAAATATTCCCTGGAGTTACAGTGACCCTTTCCAGGCATATCAGGGTATTTGAACTAGCTCTCAGTCTTGCCAAAAAAAAAAAAAAAA